CCCCCCCCAAAAAAAAACACAAAAAAACAACTGACCTCCAGCTCTGGGTGCACGTCAGTGTGAAGCTGCATCTCCTTGGCTCCGATGACCGACTGACCCTTGGTCTTCCTCCAGGCCGTCTTGAGCATGAGGCCTGGGTTGTTCAGGGGGTTACGCAGCTTCCTGAGGACAAGACACACAGTCTCTTAGTTGTTTTTTTTTAGTAGAGGGTTTTACGGCACTCGCAACTGCATAAGGTCATATGAACGCCAAGGGGTGGGTGTCAACAGAGAAGTACTTACAGGGAATCAGACTTATTCTGCTCACCTCTCTAGCTTCAATAGCACAAGGTCTGCTTGTCTCTTTGTTTGTTTATTTGAGGAAAGAGAAGCAAATTGACACAGCAACATTCACTTTGTCTGGGAAAAACTATTTAGGTTTAGTTTTAGTAAAGAGTTTTACAGCACTTGCAACACAATAAGGTCAAATAAGTGCCGAAGATTAGAGGTGTTACAAGAGAGTAACAAACACAAAAAAGGAGGAGAGATAAGAACTATAGATGTTTGACAGGAAAGAAGAAGCAAACCACACCAGAGCACCCGCCAACCACCCACCTTGAAAAACTAAGACAGACAGACAGACAGAATAAACAATGGGAAAGCAAAAAAGTACAACCTATCATTGGCACATATGTCTGCCCTACAGTTCTAGAAATTCATGTTGGACGGGGACTTGTTGTTCATGACGGGTCATATTATGTTAGGAACAAGAAAGACCGACAGAAATAACTGTTAGAAAGTAAAGTAAAGAAGTGGGGCTACATGTAGAGTTTCAGTACGTCTTAAGGACCACTTCTTGTCCAGTTTAGTTTACTTTTAGTAGAAGTTTTACGGCGCTCGCAACTGCATGAGGTCATATGAGCGCCAGAAGATTAGAGGTGTTACAAGAGAGTAACAAACATAAAAAAGAAGAAGGGGAGATAAGAAAGATAGATGTTCCATAGGAAAGAAGAAGCAAACCACACCAGAGCACCCGCCAACCACCCACACTTCTGTCTATAATGAGTCAGAATTTTGTGTGACTAAAAAGTAGCACACTGAATAGATAACACTCAAGTAGTAATGGGGGGAAACATATGACAAAGAGACAGAAACCACAGAGGCAACGTCTTTAAAAAGAGTTGTAAACAAAGACTTTTTGACCCCTTGATCACCGACAAAAAAAAAATTTCTCAGTATTTTACCCCCTCTCAAAAGGCAGAACTTTGGGGAAAATAATAAGCAATCATCTCAACCCCTGTAGACTAAGATTTTTCTTAAATGAACTGATGGTAGTACAAAATACACCAAAAATAATTAATGACCCAGTCAGGAAATTATATATTTAAGTGTGCCCACTTGCTCAAGTAAGAACCTAATGGCATTTTATTATTTGAGGTGTGCAGCTACTTAAGATGAACAATATGAGTTTTGACCATTGAAACTGAGCTCTTCATAACAAGATTTTCCAATAAAGACATTTATTTGAAAATTCGTGGCATTTAAACTGATCATTTCCCATTCTTTTAAAACATTCAAGGGGGTGATTGGAAGGCGCTCATGAGTGGTTTGCTCCTTCTTTCCCAACATCTGTCGTCATTTCCCCTTGTTCTTTTTCTGTATGTTACTATCTAGTTTCAGCACATGACTTATTTGCATTGCAAGTGCCATATAACTTTTACTACAACTACAACTGATTATTAAATTTCTCCGAAACAGAACTCACTTGACCAGTTCCTTCAAGGTCTTGCCAGCATACTGCACACCATTCAGGGCCACAAAGAGTCGGAGGATCTCATTGGTTCCCTCGAAGATAAGCATAATGCGAGCGTCCCGCACGTAGCGCTCGTAGGGGTAGTCTCTCATGTACCCAAGGCCACCCAGCACCTGCAGACACTCGGAGGCACAGTTCCAGCTGGCCTCTGAGCTGAAGATCTGTCAGTCCAGGAGGACAAACAAAATGTGCTCATTAACAAGTCGCACAATGAAAAAAAATTGACTGTCAATGTTTTATATCCCAATTGATGCAATTTATCTATTATCTATTTGTAGTGGCCGAATTTTGCTATTCAAAAGGCTTTTTAATGGCTGCATCGATCGACATACGGTTTTCGCAAAAAAAATAATAAATATTCTCCAGATCATGACGTCCTTGGTTTTTTCAGTTTTGAGATAGTTTTGCAGCAGAAAGCTAAATTTCTTTATTTCGCTGATCGCTTTTGTAGGCCGACGCTTCTGTCTCTGTAATTTGAGAAAATCCAGAAGTGATATTTCGCGAGGCGCATTATGTTTAGAGAGTATAGATCTAGACCTTCTCATTTTTTTGCATCTCTCAGGATTTATTTCCCAATTCCAGTAAAGTGTAAATATAGTAGGCCAATGACTTTTAGTTGATGTCAAAGCACCGATCATTCCTTTCATCGAAAGGGGGCCCAGCTAGTATAATTTAAAAGATAAGCTGCTTCCATCCAATCTGTCATGGCCAATCAAGATAATTATCTAATCACAAAGACCCTCTATACATAGTATATCATATCTTGTGGCTTCTACCTACAAAGTTGATTTCAAAAAAGCTTTACGCAAACAAAAAACAACCGCTCCAAAAACAAACACTATAAAAAAATCCAAAAAGGCCATTTTTTTTTTCTATACAAACACAAAATTACAAATATGCACACACACATGCCCACACGTACCATTTCTGATTATCACGCTACCATACAACATTCTGTTTTTGAGCCAAAGTTATCGTGTCTTGCTCAAAGGCACACCCTAGTGACCACCCACCTAAACACTGTGTCACAGACACATGTTTGACATTAATTATGAATATAAACACCACACACTGTGAGGAAGAAGAGGAGGAACATATGGAGCAAGAAGAAGATGAGGAGAAGGAGGAAAGGGGGCAAGAGGAGAAGGAAAAGGAGGAAGGGGAGCAAGAGAAGAAGGAAGAGGAGAAAGGGGAGCAAGAGGAGAAGGAAGAGGAGGAGAAGGAAAAGGAGGGGGGAAAGGAGAAGGAAGAAGAGGAAAGGGAGCAAGAGGAGAAGGAAGAGGGGGGCAAAAGAAAAGGAGGGGGGAAAGGAGAAGGACGAGCAGGAGGAACAGAAGGAGGATAACGAGGATCAGGAGGAGAAAAAGAAGAAAAAGGAGGAAGAGAAGAAAAAGAAACAGAAAAAAAAATATATATATATATAAAAAGCAACTGACCTTGACCATGGCCGCCTCCACAGACATGTCAGGGTTGTCATACGAGTCCAGCACGCAGGAAGTCAGGTAAGCCATACTTTCCATAGCATATACCGTCACGGCCACCTTGGCAAACTTTTCCTGTAAGACAAAATGAAAAACACGTCGTACAGCGAACCAGAAACAGAAATGATTCTCAACTTCATTTTCTTTTCACCTTCCCACAAGGAGAAAAACAGCAATTTAATCATCACAGCCCCAAACAAAATTCACTGGATTATAAATTTAGGTGTATTATTTTGTTTTAATAAGAGTCTTACGGCACTTGCAACACAATAAGGACATACAAGTGCAGAAGATTAGAGGTGTTACAAGAGAGTAACAAACACAAAAAAGAAGGAAGAGAGATAAGGATGACAGATGTTTGATAGGATGTTTTAGATGCATTATAACCCTATTGACACTATTAAGATCATTCAGGAGGTGGGCTTTGACCCTGCCTGCCCTACAGTCCCAGGATGAGAGAGAAAGACAAAACGTTCCAGCAGAAAGACTGAGATACCTAATAAAAATTGTCCCCATGCAGGAATTGAATTCAAGTCTACCGTGTGTGTTATAGGGAAACACTTAACAGCTACACCACAGATGCCAGTGTCACTCGGGTTACTGGCATGTGACTTTTTATGACACAAAATGAACTCTTCTTTCTCACTGTTAAAGAAACTTAGGAAATTACACCTAGACTAAGAATCAACGTAAACATTAGAACCTGCAGGCTAGTTTGGTCAAAAGATGACATCTTTTAAATATTCCTATGCTTGTCAAAGCTTTAAAAGAAACCCAGAAAGTCTGTATGTTTCAATCATTTTATGTTTCACCAAGAGTGTATTTTGATTAGTCAACCTGAGAACAAAATCTAATTATCACCTGATAACAAATAACTGACTTAAAAAACACAAATGAAGACCCACTTGGAAAAAAAGCAGAGTTACAAGGGTAAAAAATTTTTGAATTATGGTCCATGAGGGCCTCCTGACATACATTTTCAAGGGAGAGAAACGCCACGCCTTATGTTAAAATGAAGGGAGATAATTTTACATCCTTGGGAAGGTATAAAGTTCCATACGTTAAAACTAACATTTCTCGAAATCACTAAATCGTGCCTATGTCTTTGTCCCCCCAAACAGTGACAGAAAAAAATCTATTTGAATAAACTGAGGGTATTTCCCAGAGTAACCAACCTGAATAAGGCCAAACTCAGTCAGTTTCTTTCCAAACTGTGACCTGCTTGTGGCGTGCTCTGCTGTCCAGCCTATAGAAAATGGCAGACAGAGAAGAGAGTAAGCATACAGCGCCATAATTCACAAATCAATGTTTTTCAAAAGTGAAGTCAAGCTCTATAATAACTTCTGCTTAATTATCTAATAATAACGAGCTAAACAATAATTCTAACTCAATTGATTAATCATTGTGTTCCAAGCTCAAGCTTAAATAATAACTGAAACTTCAGTACTTCAAGACAGAAGATTGGACCGGGAAATTGGAATGAGGACCCAAAGAAAGGATAAAGTAAAAATAAAGTTAGTAAAGTCTCCAGAAAAGAGAACCTACCGATCAGTTTCTTGAGGATTCCAGCACCACCACTGCCCATACTGAAGCGGCCACTGTTCAAGATATTCATTGCAAGCTGAAACATAGAAATCGTTAATATAAAAATCATCCCTATTTTTAACAATTTACTGGACTAGACAAAGATGAAATAAAAACATTCACTGAAATCTGAAACATTGAAATCCTAAAATGTAAAAATTATCTCAGTTTTAACAACTAACTGGACTGACTTGAAGAAGCAATCAAAGCAATATAGACGGAATATCTCAAGTGAAAACGAAGACAAAAACTTGTATCTTCCAGATAAAAAATTGTCATTATAATATGACTTGAAAAAAAGACTGAACAAAACATATTTACCTTGAAACCTTGGCCAACTTCTCCCAAAACATTTTCTGCTGGCACAGGAGTGTTGTCAAAGTGCACTTCAGTGGCTGTGAATTGAGGGAATTACAAATTATAATTATAAAAATATTGTATTGCATGCACCCTTGAACACAATTAAGATAATTTAGGAAACCTCCTTCTTCAGCCCTCATTTCATTGAGCAGGATACGACATCCCAGAAGACAGACATCACTGACTAAAAAAACAAACTTCCCCTCTCGCTAATAGAAGTAACTTCTGCATGCACAAATATTGCATGCAGAGTATAACGATTACACCACAGAGGCCAGTGAAGAAATTGTTGAAAATACGTTTCTAAAAAGTTGTCAGTTCAAGATTCCTTGAACTAACTAGTCACTAGTTACTGTGTAGTTCTGGAAATATGTCTACAAACTCAGCTGGCCGCACAAGATTCATCTTACTACCTCATTCAAACCTTTAAGCTTACAGTTGATTAGAGAAACAGCTCTGTTGAACATCTGAATCAACTTCAAACTCATGGGAAAAAACAGAAAGTGGGCCTACCCACTGTTGAATCCATTAACACTAAAACAAGAAAAGGCCTACTGTCAAATCTCTGAAAGAGATAAACAGAAAATAACCTACTGAGAAGAACCTTCTTTTGAATTGCTGGAAGTCATAAACAGAAATGTACCCACTGTTGAATCTCCTATTTTTTTTAAAGTAAGAGTTTTACGGCACTTGCAAAACAATAAGGTCATATAAGTGCCGAAGATTAGAGGTGTTACAAAAGAATAACACACACAAAAAAGGAAAAGAGATAGGATGATTGATGTTTGATAGGAAAGAAAGACGCAAACCACACCAGAGCACCAGCCAACCACCCACACTGTTGGATCCCTGAATTATAAAAAAAACAGAAAAGAACTTACAGTTAGATTCCCCTCTACTAAAACAAGACAAGACCTACTGCTAGATCCCTCAAAGCCAAAAACAGAAAAGAACCTCCTGTTGAACCGCTAAATGCCAAAGAGAGAAAAGATCTTACTGTTGGATCCCCGAATGCCCATCTTGTCCTCAGGCTTCCCACTGGTCACTCCTCCAAAGGCTCGCTCCACAATGAAGGCAGTCACTTTGTCTTTGGTCTCACCCTGGTCACAAGCAATTAAAACCAGAGAAATGAGTTCATCACATATGAAAGGACACACATGCACACATGAAATGCACACACAGACACACAAACATAAGCACACTTATATATATATATATATATAAACACATCCTGCACTCACAGAGACCAAGTGGATATTCAGAATCTGCACATACAGTGATGTTCATACAGCATAGTATTTAGGAATATGTGTATGCGTGAAGATGTGAATGTGTTTGCATATGAGCATCCTTGAGACATTTCATTCTCCCCCTTTCTGGCTAAAAGGACCAAAACCAAGATATGTTTTAGTTTTGTTTTAGTTTTAGTAGAGGTTTTACGGCGCTCGCAACAGATATGTTTCTCTGAGCAAGAAGGATTTGTTCGTTTTGTGAGTGTTTTACAGCACTCGCAACTGCATACGGTCATATGAGTGCGTGGGACACATTTAACATTTTTCAGTCAGGTAGGAATTAATTTTGAATTTGCTCGGGTGGCAGCTGAACCCTACTCTTATCGATTTTGGACCACCAAGGGACCATTAAGGTGAACAACTTGCACACAGGCCCTCCGATATTTTCGCCCTTATCCGAGAAGGCTAGGTGCTAGATCTTACCTACCCTAAGATCAGGGATGTGGCTGAAAGACAGCAGTAAGAAGGAGCCAAGGGGTAGCAGTAGAAATGCTGCAGAAAGAGATAGGAGCCCAGAGGAGGGGGAGAAAATGGAGACGAAAGCAGATGACAGAACATAGTTAGAGAGCAGGAAAGGAGGTGAAAGGAGAACATTTTAGAAAAGACAATTTTCCATTGCTGTCAGGTTTAGAAACTGGGACCTACTAAATGAGAGGCAAACACAGTAACCTCTAGATCATGACAGCCCCCCCCCCCCCCCCCCCCCCCAAAGGATTGGCTTTCTAACAAATGAGGATTGCTTTAAACATTTTATAGTTGTACAGCAAACAGTATACAAATCACAATCTGGTCAAGCCGCTAGGGGAGTGAAAATTCCCTTGCAATCACCAGTTTTCGGCAGACCACACGTTGCCAGGCTACATGGAACAGAACTTTACTTACTTACTACCCATTACGCCATCTGGCGTTTAGGACAGCAACAAAAGATCTCCAGCTCTACCTGTTTTGGGCCATCTTGGTCAGCGTTCCCCACGAATGATTAAAGGACTTCATTTCAGTCTCTACTGTGCGTCTCCAGGTTACTTTGGGTCTGCCCCTTTTGCGACGTCCTTCGGGTGTCCAGTGGAAGGCAGTCTTCACAATAGAGTCTGGTTCTCTTCTCAGAACATGTCCAATCCATCTCCATCTTCTCCTTTTTATAATGGTGGTCATGTCCTCTTGCCTACATTTACGTAACAGATCTGCGTTCGAGATCTTGTCGGCCAGAAGATTCTGAGGATTTGGCGTAAGCTGGTAGTATGAAAGGAAGATAGCTTGGCATGGTCATGATCAGTCATCCTCCAGCATTCAGCTCCATATAGGAGTGTGGATAGTGCACAGCTGTTATACAGCTTTAACTTGGTTTGAACAGCACCAAGCAACTGGACTGGACTTCTGGGGTATGGCACATCGATTCGCTGAGTGACTGAAAGGGGAAATTTTCAACGGAGCAGAAATGCTCCACGTGGCAATAAAGCGTTTAAAAAATAACTTCCTCCTCACCTCGGGGGTTGTCACCTCAGTCTTGGCAAACACGGTGAACACGTCAGCGATTCCTCCGTTAGATATCCAGATCTTCCCTCCATTCAGAGTCCAAGTTTTGCCATCCTCAGACAGCGTGGCCCGGGTCTGAATGGATGCAGCATCACTCCCACTGAAGGAAACACACGTTGAAACATAATGAGAGAAGCCATAGTGGAAAAAATGTAAAGAAAAGACCACCCCAAAACACTTTCACAAGAGTTTTCTACTTGTGAGCTCTCTTATGCTCTTCCTCCCACCATTGCTCCTAATCATAAAAAACTCATGAGACCATGACAAATTCACCCTGACATGTGAGATTTCTACAAGTGAACTTGTTTATTTTTTACACCCCCACACCATTGTTTCTAATCAAAAGGACTTCTCATCTCAATACATGAGGAGTTATTTGTCTTTGGTGGAAAATATTAATGGAACCAAAGAAGAGGCACAAAAGCACTGACAAACTTCAGGCCCTTTACTCTTGGTTTTAACATAAAATCCTTGAGAAAATTTTGCCAAATACAGTGGAGATCCCCTAAACCCAAAATCTGCCGGGCAGCCGGATTTACTTCAGTTTAGTGGTATTTTCGGTTTCGAGAGAATGTTGAAACTGAGGGAAAGTAATTAATTACTAAAATCCCACACCAGTGACGTCAGTAAACACATCACAAGTAGGAAGTACCTGGAGGGTTCTGTGAGACAAAAGGCGGCTGTGTGCTCCCCTGAGGCCAGCCTGGGCAGGTATTTCTGCTTCTGATCATCATTGCCAACGAGGAGAATGCCCTGAACAGATAGATTTTGCTTGAGTAAACAGAAGCAAATCAACTTGATAACAGAAAAAAAGCAAGACAAAGAGAATCAACAGAGGAAAAGAAAAGAAGTGAGACCTACCAGTTGTGTCCTCCAAACACACTATTGAACAAACATTCCAGAAAAACAATATGACAAGGTCAAAACCATACAACAGGAGGAAATTTTCCCTTGAGTGTTCAAGAAGATGAATGCCATCAATAGATTAAGAATTTTCACAAAATATAATTTCATCAAAACGCTCTGCCAGACAAAATTCAAACCCAATCCCTATCCAAAACTAAAGAGAAATGGCTTTCAAACGAACATCAATGAAGACCATTCCAGGGGATGAGGACCTGCTGAAAAATATCTTACCACTGACCATCGTTTTTTTTGTTTTGTTTTGTTTTTCGTTACAAGAATGTTGCATCTAATTAAATAAATAAAAAACAAGTAAAGAAAAGCCCTGTCACTGCTTAAAATGTTTTTCAGCCTGTCATCATCTCCCCATTACATGTGTTTTCCATCAAATGGCTCAAACAATAGAACCAAGGAAAGGTGGCTTAGTTGACGATGGAGTAAATTCCCACTGCTAAAAACGGCTAGCATTTTCCTCACTAGAAAAAAAACAACAACTACGCTACAGGTTAATGTTAGTGGTCTGTTTTTACCATCCTAATCTTATCATTAACCCTAACAGTACGTCATGTTTTACTATCGTATCCATACGAAGTGGGGAACTCTGTACTACCACTTTCCAAAGAGGAAATTTACTCGTTAATCCGATCCCTCCACTTTGCATAGCAGCCTGTCAAAATGATTTTTATTTAGAAATGCTGAAAGTTTCAAAGAGATCTTCGTGCTAGAAGTATTCTAAAATGTGAAGAATACAACCCTCGGGGTACAAAATGACCCCAAGGCGTACGGATAGGGTTAAAGAAATCCTACGGGAGAAACGGGCAACACGTCCACCCGATTCAATTGGGTCGAACAGGAAAAGGTTGAAATTGAAAAAAAATACCCAACCAGCTCTATTCACCATGTATCCGATAGCCTGATGAGCTGCCAGAGTCACGGCAATAGCTCCATCTCGTGCCGTTACCTCACCAACTCGTGCATAGGCCGTAGCATTCAGGTTAAGCCCACCTGAGGGGACAGAGACAATATTACTTCTGTCATGTACGTAAGTCAACTAAAGACATAATTTCCCCTCAATCATATATCTTTTCATAAATAAGTATCGAAACCTCAGCTACTCTTAAAAAAAACCAACAACACTGTCTTAAGTATTCATACAACAGCCAGCCTCGAGAGCCTACAAAACCAAGCACTCAGGCTATAAGGGAAGAAGGCCACGCAAAAGGGGGATCGAGGGTGTCAAGGAAACCCTAAGAAAACATAACATCACAAGTGAAAGAGCTGCGGAGCTGGCCTACCATAGAAAACTGCATCTCCCCTCGACGCTTAATGGTAACAGAGGATGAAAGAGTAAAAGTAAGTAAGTACTGAACAAATGTGTACATATGCAGTCGAACCAGCTCTAATGGCCACCTGTCCAAAACAATCACCTTAACAAACAACCACTTTACCCCTTGCATTTTTCTATAAAATGACACTCTCAAAGATATCCACCAGTCAAAGCCAGACAATGAGTGGCCGTCTTGGAAAATTCGACTGACAAATATAAGGTATCAATAAGGAAAAAAGAGATACATTATATACGAGAAAAAAAAAACAGAACACAATGTCAATTATCCATAATGCAATCAAACCTTGTTGTACCGTCCGCCCCTTGTACCGCCAGCCCTGCTTACGCCAGGTTTTGTCAATATACAAAAAGAATCCCCTAAATAATAATAGTATTTGCGTTTTTACATCGCCATCCGCCATCTGTCTCAGTAGTACAGTCCTCATTAAACTACTGTCAATTTACCCGTTGTACCGCCAGCGAACTGGCCGACAGAAATACACAGTACACACAAGGCCACACACAGCGCATCCACTCAGTGGACAATCTTTCACACACAAGTCTCTACAAGCTAGACCTAGGTCAGGATCAAACGCTTTTAACAGATTGGCTCCCTCCCCATCTATCCCACCTCCCCATTTTGCCTTGTTATAGTGTGTCACTAGCGAACACAATACAATGTGTAATGTAAAAGAGTACAATTAAAGTAAAATATAACTGTTATTCAGTATCAAATGTCACTTCCCGCATGAATCTCACTAAATTTGATGCACTGATTTTGCAAATGCTATCACTTTTAGGCCTTGGTCAATCTTTTTTTAAAAATGGAATTAAATTTCTAAGTCGCCTGGAGAAATTTTTAAGGAATCTCGCCAGCCATCTCGGCCCCCAGCAAAATATCTAGTCCGCTAGATATCAGCCCAATAACTTACAGGCTTTAGAATGCCCATGGGGCTTTTATTAAGTGAGGACCCACGCTCAAGTCTAAATGACAGAGCTAGTGATGGGTAAACAATTTCCTTTGATGTTGGGCAGTCGGTGCTACGCGTATTTTTAACAGAAGACAGGAAAACCTTGTTGTACTGCCAGCCCTGCAGTAACGCAAACTTCATGCTCGTCCCAAGGTAGGCGGTATTATGGGCTTTGACTTATAAAGAAAACACAGATTAAAACAAAAACCTACCAAACTCTTCTGGAACCTGAAGTCCAAACAAACCGAGGTCTTTTATTTGTTGTAGAGTCTCATCCGGAATTTTTGCGTTCACATCAATAGACTTTGAGTCAACTGAAGAGAGAAATGTAGGAGAAACATTAAAAGAAAGGAGTCCAAGTCAAGCAAACCAAAGCTGAATAGAGTTTTTCAAGCTGGATTTATAGCAGTTTTATGCTTTTAGGCAATCACTAAAATACTATAATGTGAACAATCATCATTTCTATTGATATACATTTTATTTTAAGCAAAATCAGTTTCTCAGATAGGTCAATTTCTTCACAAATAAAGAGGCTTAAACTGTGTCTCTTGCTTTATCATTAAATTTAAATAAGACATAAAATCAGAACTTAAATAACCAACACAAAAAACAATATCAACTTGTTTACTAGAGATAAAGAATATTCAGCTAAAAGTTTAACACAAAAACATGAAACAACTTCAAAAATACGTATGGTACTCAACTTATTTTAAATAGTATATCTGCGAAGCCCCAACTTTTATTCAATTCAAAAGCATACAATCACACAGATGATAACTGTACATAATACTAACACAAACTAAACCCCACCTCACTCCCCAATCTCAGAACATTAGTTTACATCTCATCTCTTGTTTGTAAGGAACTTACGATTATCAAAGAATTTTTCAATTGGAACAACAAGCTCGTTCAACTCATCAAACTCTTCTTTGCTGATCTCTGGATACACAAGAAATTTCTGAAAAAACAAAAGAACAAAGTTTTACAAAAATATCATCATATAAATTATATGCAAACCCCACTTAGTAAAAGAAACAAAAAAATCAGAGTCATTACATACAAAATGTAACAATACAGCAAACAAACAAATTTAACTACAAAAATTACTACATCTGTTTTACAAATCGCGCTCTCCACAAGATCATTTGAAAATTGGTGTTAAATGTTAAATACACATTATCCCCCAGATAATGGCATGATTAAGTAAGTCTGCTGACGACACTCTCAAAGAAGTAAACAGGGATGACGGTCTACTGTGACGTCTCTGTTCTACAACTTGACGGTGTACCACCGTGCAAGCCTGGCAACTGTTCTACTTGGCAGTCTAATACAATGTTATGTTCTACTTGGCAGTCTACTGCAATGTTTATACATGTTCTACTTGGCAGTCTACTGCAATGTTTATACATGTTCTACTTGGCAGTCCACTGCAATGTTTATATATGTTCTACTTGGCAGCCTACTGCAATTAATGTTCTACACGAGTCTACCAACAGACCAGTCTGATAACCTTTTTACCAGACTGTCTTTTTATACAGGTTTGGAACTGTCACTTGAAGCATTTAAAGGACATTTAATGTTTTGGTGGTTGCAATTTACAAAATTTTTTCCTTTGCATTTATACAGGCTTGGTGCTGTCGCTGCTTACTTGTGAATCATCTCTTTACTGCTATCAAATGAAGCAATCACCCACATATTGCAATTGTAAACATCACCATCTTTGATCTAAATGCACCCAGTGCCTGGTCTCTTGCTGTTTTTACCGCTACCTTACAGCACAGGCTGACCCAAGGTTGCCAATTAGGCGGGACTCGGTAGACCACCTAGATTGGGGTAGACCATGGTCCATCGGGCACGACATACGGTAGACTGTCAAGTAGATAGGCACTGAAAGAGGTAAATAATTTATACAAGATAATCTGTAAACAAAATAAAATCACAATAAAACTATACACTCACTGGATCCAGTTTCCCTAAGTACAAGGATTTAGCGATTGGCTGATCCAAAATTGGCTTCTTTCCTGTCGGTGCATATTCTCCCATTTCACTAGCCTGAGGGTGAGGTGACACATCTCCTTGACCTTTTCCCACCACCTCAGAATTTGAAGACGACGCATAAAAACGTGCTGAATGCTTTTGAGCTGGGTGCACGGAGGTAAGAGCTTGAGCAGGGACACATCTCTGATGAAAACCTTTCTGTCGTAAGGTCCGAGCACAAATACAACGGCTAAATCTGCTTGAGGCCAACATCTTTTCTGGATAGACTTCTAATCTGTGAAGGGGAAAAAATATGAAACTTATGACGAAAACCTCCACCAGAGATTCCTGTATCGGTTTTTGAAAATCAAGGGCACTAGATGAATGGATTGACTGCATGCAGCCTACTGAAGTAAACATTTTTTAAAGCTCATTGGCTACACAGACAGACCTTTGTCCCCGAGGATCTAGATTGACCAAGGTCGTTTTTTCTTCTACCACTGTTCACATGGTCACCCTGAGGATGATGCATCTTCACTGTGTTTTAATGCTCCTGACTACAGTGACTGACAAATATATAATTTTTAAACAGGAAGAAATTTCACAGGACCCAGGTAATTGTCAAAAGAAGTTCATTTCACTTCCAATACATCATGGTCAGAAATTTTCGGAGAAAACAGGATAAAAATTACACAATGAAAGTAGAAAGACAAATAAATTATAAATTACTATGAATAAGTCCTCTACCCTTGTTGATTCGGGAGGAGTTCCGCAGAGGGCCGGCACTTACCGTGACAAGGTCCACTGAGTAAACTACAAGAGTTTGGGTTAGGGTTTAGGGTTATCGATTAGGGTTAGCGGTTGGTTAGGATATCCCGCTCAAAATTCCCCTCTTCTGTGTGTTGTTGGTTGGCTGCACCTCTGTGGAACTCCTTCCCTTGATTCAAGTATACACACCTCAGTCTCTTGTATTATAATGTTTATGAATATGTACCGTTTTTATTTTAGCATACTAATTTAATTTTGGCTTTGGACCTTTGGAAAAGAATAATTTAACACTTTTAAAACAGAGTAAAGTATCACTGATTATCAGAGAATATACCTAATAACTGTGAACAATGCCCCCTACCCTTTTATATCACACCTCTTTTTTTACATTGTTCAACTGCACAGAGAATAGTTGATAGCGTGTGTGTTGGTAAAAGAATTTGTTGAAGCGGAACCAAAAAAAACCTCAAAGTTCCTAACAGTAACAGATACAGGTCAGTAACGGAAATAGGAATATCCACCATTACTGGCACCGGTATCAATCAGTATCAGCCATTTCATGTAGGCAATGTATGTAGGCTCAGTCAGATCTTTAAATTAGTTTCAGAGTGTCTACGTACACGGTGACCGGGCATGTAGTCTTAGTATCTACGTACACGGTAACCGGGCACCTAGTCTCAGTGTCTACGTACACGGTAACAGGAATGCAAATAAATCAATATTTGTCCAGTGCTGTCACTTGCTGAAAAAAAGGAAAGTCATACAAGCATCTTGTCGGGGTCACCATCGTGACCAGTCAGTGAACCTGTGCGTGTGCATCATATTGTGAGTACCCGTTGGGGTCACCAAAGTTCATTCCAAGTCTGTGCGCTGCCAAGTATAGGGCTCCGGAATGGTAGGGATTATTGAATATAATTTTTTTTTAAAGTACAGTCAGGGGAGGGGTGGGGATGAAGGCAACACTGGAAGACAAAAACTGAACATGGGAGTTCTGAACTGCCCGGTTACTGTGTATGTGACACTGAGACTATATGCCTGGTTGCCGGTTACCGTGTAC